TTACTAGGCAGGAGTGGGCTTGATTCCAGGCTCAAGTGGGGCTCAGGGTTGCTCCAGGGGTCTTATTCTGTGGCCCTCATCAAAGGAGACTTGGCTGACTTCCTAACACTGGGTCACAGGAGCACAAAGGATAAATCACCATGCAAGCACATTTAAACCCTTGCTGCCCTCGTGCCTGCCCACACTCCACTGGCCGCAGCAAGACATGGTCAATCCCATCATCATGGGGGCAGCAGAGAGTGCTGTACTTGGAGCAGAGGGTCCCCTCTGCTAAACACAAGCACCTTATTGTGCCATCTGACAGCAAGGATTCCGGGGAGCAGACCTCAAGCTCTAACTCAGCTCTGTGGTTCTCCAGTTCCTGTCTAACCCAGTCAAGGGAGCCTCGTCCTTTGCCGGTGGCCATTGCCTCATCATACCCTGGTCAGAATTCAGGGCCAAACAGGGGCCATTACTGGAGCCATGGATTTAGGTGTTTGGTATTCATACATCCATAATGATCTTGGGAAATATGTTTTCTAACCGCGGTAAAGACAGGAGATCTAACATTATCGACTATACCTGGTCTCCATGAAGTCCCGTTGAATACTGTAATGATGGGCTATGCTGTCATTAACAGATTATGAAGACCTGATTTGAAAGGTTAATGAAATTGACAAACAAGTGAACCCTGGGTATCATCAATACCACGCAATGACGACTCTCCTGTTTTCACTTATAGAATCGCTGAAACGGGCAGACTCCGTACCTATGACTACATTTTTTTTTGTTGTTGTTGTTATCCATGAAGAGAATCTGCATAGATTTTGTTTTAATTTAGAGTGTGGGTTAGATAGTATTTTACACTGTGTGTTTATATATTAATGTGTTAGTCAACTTTGCATCCTGGTGACAAAAGACCTTACATAAGCAACTTAGAACAAGAGGAGATTCATTTTGGCTCATAATTCCAGAATTTTCAACCCAAAGTCAGCTGCTCCATTGCTGTGTCTCATACACAATCACGGGCTGCTTAACTGTGGGGACACATTCTCAGAAATGCATTTTTGTCATTGTGAGCCACCATAGAGTATATGCTTTTAAAGACTAAACAACTAAATGAGCTAACAAAGATGTCATTCAACACAAGTTCAAGGATAAACTCAGTAGTTAATCAGGGACCCTAGCTCTGGCCAAAGTTGAGGAGAAGGGGGAAGAAGGAGATTGAAGCTACAGCTGTCTCCAAGATGAGCCCAGAGCCCGATGATTCCGTCAGGTAATCCCTGGGCCAGTGGAACTGCCTGCAGACTCTGCACAGGCTGTCGAGAAAACAGAGCAAGAGACTAAACACGAGGTCTCTGCTCTCTACTGGTTCCTGGGGCCTAGCTGCATCCCTGCTCTTCTTGTCCCATAAACCACTGGTCCAATCCCCCGCCTGAAAGGGTCCAGCAGGCACCGAGTCTCTTTGACCCACTCTGTCCTCTGCTCAGTCCTCTGGCCACCTGTAGCCTGGCTTGCAATTCTGTTGCTGGTCTTCACGCCTTGAAGGACACCGCTGCATGTCACCAGGGACCGGATAAGCTCACCTTTGATCTAGGGAAACATTCCTTTGAACTCTACTATCTCCCTTTTTTATCAGTACATTCCACCTGTCTTTGTCCTAGGTTCCGGTGGATCACCAGATGTGACTGATGAGGACACGGAAGAATTCGAGGTCATAAGACTGTCCCACTTGTGACAGCGTGAGATGTGATCCCAGAATCGGGAAGTAGAAGAGATAAGGTGTCCTTGTTTCAGGGTTGCTGTGGGGACTTCTGGTGCAATCCTCAGGGGATCGGAAGCCTTGAGGGCCTGCAGCCGACTGTCTCTCTGATGGTCATCTTGGGCTGCTCTGCAGCCACACGCCCCGTTTCTTCCCTCAGACTCTCCAAGTTCACAGCCAGCCGTGTGCGCCGAGCCGCTCAGCCCCACGTCCTCCGAGTGTGCGTGGAGAGGGGCCCATGAGAGAACCCAGAGCAATGCCAGACCCCCGGGTCCTTTCCGTCAGCACCCGCAGTGTCACTGCTGCTCTCGTTATTAGCATGAGCGTCCTTGTCTCTCCCCTGTGACTGGCTCTGTGGACGTGGCTTGGTGACGCTATTTCTGGTTCCCAGACACTTCCAGGCACCTACACGCTCCCCTGAACTGCAGCCGCTCCCCACAGGACACCCCGAGCAGCCTCCTGTCCTCCTTCCTCCATTCCCTGTCCCCAACGAGCCCTGGGGCACCTGGACCGCAGCCTGGAGCCCGAGGCCTGGGGTGTACTGAGGAGCATGTACAGGCCACCTACACCTCCCTGTCCTGGCCCTTGGTGAGGGATGCTGGGACCGGAGATAAAAGATGCTTAAATCGCCTGTCGGCGGCCAGGGCTGCTGGGTTCTCAGCTCTGCCTTCCCCAGATCCCAGGACAGCCTGGGGGTGTGGGCTGGGCTCGTCCCTTTACAGGGGACACTCAGCTGTGGGGCAGGGTGACTGGCCCCAGCCCACCTGGCTACTAACCGACTGATTTCAAGCTTGGTTCTGGGACTCCAGAATTTAGATCCTGTGTGGAGTCCACTATAAATCTGCTCTTTACTGCCGATTGATCTAGTGGGCTCTCAAAATAGCTCTCAAGTCAATTAAGTCAAACAGGATATCGTGATAGTCAGATTTTTAATTTTTAGTGATTCATTTGCATTTATGTTGGGTTTTGATTACAAGACTCTAGAAAAATCAATAAAAGTTTTATTATAAAGGAAAAAAAACAACAAGTGGATATTGAAGTTGCTTTTTCATCACTGGGCACCGAAGGAGTTTCCTGGGCTGCTTTGCTCTTTGTGGGGCTTGAGACCCTCAAGAAACACAGGCATTCAAGAGCCCCAAGGATGAGGTGGCCCCTTCCTAGGGGGAATGTGATGGTTTCTGTCACCAGAAAGTGCGTGTGGGAAGGCAACAGCGCACACACGGCTCACGTTGAGAGTGCGGGATGCTTTGCAGCCACGCTGCACTCTGGGGGCGTCCCCCCAACCCTGTCCTCCCTGGTTGTCCCCCTAGGCTGGGAGGAATGACTGTCCCAGGCTCGGGCTGGGCTCACTCTCCCTCTTCTGGAATCACATCAGGTGCTCCTCTGTCTTGAAGACCCTGGATCTGCCTTGAAAAGGAGCCAGCTCTTGTCGCGTCTTTGTGACAGATTTCTTAATTAATCTGCTCAGATTGTCAATAATGTAATTCACTGTTGATTTAGAAACTAGTTATATGAGGCACTGCTAGTGCCATTGTGGGGAAACATCTGAATAATTCAGCTAATAGATGGGAACTCGCCCAGATTGCTGGGACCTGGGGAGGGAGCAGCTAATTCAGACGGGATGAGCTCAGGCAGGGGGATTCCAGCAAATTCCAGGGAGCGAAGAGGTTGTCATATTGCTAGGGGCAGCAGCTGCCTGGTTTAATTATTGTCATTTTGGTTTTCGGAAAAAAGAACCTAGGCCCCACACTCCCAGGCTGAGGCCACTATCACGCTCCTAAAAGAGTGGATTTCCGTGGGAAGCCTGTGGCATAGCTGATGCCAGTTCTGCACCCCACGCTCACATTAGTGGGTCTGATTCTGGGCACATGATGTTAATGAATGATATAACTCTTCATGTGAATTTAGAAATAAGTACATTATAGGGATGTAAAGATGCCTTTTCTTCCCCTGGGAGATTCACAGTGATTCAGATATTTCTCACAATTGAGTAATGGGTCCTGAGATTTGGGTGATAATCAGTCTCGCACTGAAGCTTGGGTCCATGGTAGGAACTGAAGTTTTGAGTTTGCAAGTGTAATTACGTGAGGATCTCACATAAACATAAAACGCAATCACATTCAGTTATATACTTAACACTTTGTTTTTATTGAAAATAATAAAGTTATACAGAGTTAAGCTATTATTCTAAATTTTTTGCTATGGTGGTTTGACTTCTAACAGCCCTTAAGTGTACATAAGTTAGTGCTTAGATGTCAATGTGGAGAGACATGGTGATTTGGATGGGAAATGTTCATCTGGCTGCGTTTATCCGCAGAGTCTCGTGTTTGTCCTCTGTTTATGCCCCTCTCCTTCTCCACCCTATCATCCTCACACGTATGTGTTCTTGGACACACATAAATCCCACGTGCACACTTGCACGTATGAGCACATATGCACACACTACTGTGTTCGTTTGTGCACATTCACAGGGGTGTGCGCATTCACATGCGTGCATATTCCCTTCTTAGCCATGTCTTTTCCAAATCATGAGGCTTTCAGCAGAAGGGAAGGGCCCAGAGGACCTGCTCTTATGCCCTGACACTCCCGAGCCTCTAGCCGGGAGAGCTGCTCTGCTCAGGACATGATCCTGGGTGTTTTAACGACAACAGGGCTGATTTCCCAGGCTGAACTGTTTGGGAAGCCCTTCAGGACACAGCTGCCTTTGGAGCCCTGGTGAGCAGAACCTGGCAAATACTTTGTGAGCCAATCGATGGAAGAGCGAGACACGCACCCTGGGCCTGCAGCCCATGCTGGTCCCTGGGGAGAGGACCCGGTGAAGCCTGTCATCAGTCCCAGAACACCCCAGCTCTCATGGCCGTGGCTGCGGCAGGCAGGGTGGTGGTGCCTCCTCAGCACCCACACCAGCCTCCTGGCTGTTCCAGCCTCTGCAGCCCAGCCGTGCCTGGCTTCAGTCACCAGGTCACCTCATGGTCAAGCTCTCTGTGGGCGTTGTAAATATCACATCCATATTCACGACAGCAGAAAAGAGGAAGAGGAGAAGGACTGCACTCCCTTCCCTTCTGCTTTCCCCAGGGCCGATCTGGAACCTCCCTGCCACCCGCTCCCACGCACACTCTCCATCCCGCTCCTCCCCCGCAAGGGCTCTGCAGGCCATGCCTCCCCCGACGGGGCTGTTCAGCTCGGCAGCAATGAAGTCGAAGCCATTTCGAGATATCTTGATGGCTACGGCCTAGGACTAGCCGGTGTCTGCAGAGTAGGAAACCAAGCAGGGATAATAGCTTTAATAAGCCACAGATAAATAATTCCCATTTTACTGTGTCTAGGTGTTTCGAATCGAGAAGACCATCTGAAATAAAAAAGCTTTGTGTCACGAGACCCTAGACTGTGGCCTGGAGCAGCCACTTCCACTGTGAGTCTCGGCCTGCCACACGCTCTCCGTTGTGGGAGGGCACTGTGGCCGGTCTCCGATTTCCAGTGACGTTGGTCATTCGGAGAATGGTTTGCCTTTTACTGAAAAGCCATTTGTTGCTATTTACGTGTTAAATGCTCACGTTCTCTGATGGTGTATTCCCTGGAAATCTAATTTGTGAATAATCACTGGACAGAAATGGGACTGGATGGAAAATTGTGAATATGCAGAGGCGGAGACAGGCCTGGAGAGGGGACTTTGGCGGAAAGGCCTGACCTCGATTCTTATCTCCGCAGTGAGCAGCTAATAAGTTCCCTACGTAAAAGAGCAAACACCAAGTTCTCAGGCGCTAGGCACCGTGGACAAGGCAGCCATTAACAGCCCTGTGAGGATCAGCTGGCCTGGATGGAGCCCACAGTGGACGCCCTCTTCTACTCGTGCCAGAGAACCGAGGTGAGGGCCCTTCTGTCCTTCCTGTCTGCAGAGCTGGGGGCCTCTGGGGGTGAGGAGGTTGCCATGGGCTGAGTGTTTCCCCCAAATTCCATGTTGACCCCTGCCCGCAGGGGACGGCACTGGGACGGACCCTCCCAGGAAGTGATTAAGGTAAAATGAAGGTAGGGCCCTGTCCAATGGCTCTGTGTCCTCCCAAGAGACCCCAGGGCTACTTCACTGCAACCACTCACCAAGGAAAGACCACGTGAGGACACGGAGAAGGGGGTCTTCTCTCATCAGAAACTGACCCTGGTGGGGCTTGATCTTGGACTTCTAATCCCCACATGGTGAGAAATACATCGTGCTGGTTCAGCTGCCCTGTGTGTGGTATTCTGTTAAAGCAGCCCAGCTGACTAACCCAGGTGGGTGGTGGACGTGGGTGTTCAGAAAGACTGTCACAGCTAGCCACGCTTGTTGACTGGTGGCCTCGGCACCAGCTGACGAGAGCTCGGATGGCCCTGTTCCCGCCCCTCTGAGCCCTGGCCCTGCCTTCAGCAGCCAGGGCCCGGCATGTGCTGCCCTGCCTGGATCCACTCAGCCTCTGGTTCCTGATCCCAGAAGAGTCCATGTGCACGCCCCCCAAGACTCCTGTGTGAACAGCAGTGAGCAGCGGCAGGTAGCCCTGAGCATCTGGGTCAGCCAACGGGGCAAGTACAGGCTCAAGGCCAGTGTCCACTCACCCTTACCTAGCACTCACTCTGTTCTCAGCACTCTCTGTGCGTGAAGCCATCGAGGATCACAGGAACCCTGAGGGCTAACCCGCCAAGCTGCTGCTACCCTCCTTTTACAGAGGAAGAAAGCGCCTCAGCAGTGTGGCACGGCTGGTCCAAGGACAGCAGTAGCAAGGGCAGAGACAGCATCCCGCCTGGGCCCGCGTGCCAGGTCCCCTGCTCAGCACGGTGCTGTCAGGCCAGGGTGGACAGGAGCTTCTGTAGCTCAAGCCCGGGGCCCAGTGAAGTACAAAGCAGGGACCTTCTCTGACCCCTGGGGAAAGTCTCCCGGGAGGTCAAGTCTGAGTGGTGACCTGAAGATGGTACGGGTGGCTGGGCCGGGTGTCCTGGGGCGTCCTGTGGGATGGGAGGACCCAGGTGCAGAGGCAGAGGCCCACGCCCTGGAGGGTCTGAGAACTGCGGAGGCTCTCAACAGGACCAGAAAGATCACCTGGCTACCGCGTGAGGAGTGGGCTGGAGGCCTGGGATCGGAGCCGCAGCTCGGCCACTGAGGCAGCCGCTGGAGGGACGGCAGCGGGCCCTGAGCAGGTCTGCGGGCGGCTCTGACCCAGGCTTGCAGGCGACTGGGAATCATCTGGAAGCGCGGGAGCGGCTCCACCAGACCCTGAGGAAACCCAGTCCTGGTGATAAGCACAGGCCTATTTTAATATAAAAAAAATCACAATAAAATAAAGCAGAGCCAAATCAAAGATAGCACTCAGACTCGTCAGTTCCTGATGACTTTACTGCTCTCTGTTCTCTTGAAGGTACTTACGTCCACGGGTCACAGTGGACACACTACGTAGCCTGGCTGCTCCTTATCTCTGCTGTGTTCAGCCAAGTCACGTGTGGTGCATTGACAGCTTGAAATTTGCTGATTAAGGGGGAGAATCACACTAAGGACCTGGCTAACTTAGAAATCAAGGTTCATCTGGGCTTGGATGCAGACTTCATTGTAGAGATGGGGGACATAGAAAAATCCTGTGGACCCTCTGCAGTCCTCTCTGGTCAGCCTCCAACCTCGACTGCCAGCCTCTCTCTGGAGCCTCCTGACAGGTTCTGCACAACCAGAGCATTTTTCTGTCATGGCTCTGACTTGTGTCTGCCTTTCCTTCCATTCTGAAAGATCTTGGTGGAAGGGACTGTGTCTCACTCAGCTTTAGAACAGAACGTAGCCCAAGATGGGGACTCACTCTGCGTGTCCTCAGTGAAGGGACGAGTGACGGTGGAAATGGCCGTCCTTCCTGCACTGACCGCTCTGCCCCCCCTCCCTGAAGGGGCGGGACACTAGACTGTGATAACTCTGGGTGGTTTGGTCCCCAGGGCAGCCCCGGGGCTGCAGCGGTGTCTTACATAAACGAGAGTCTGGCTCGATGCTGAGACCTTCACTGATGAACGACTTCAAAAGGGCCACTTCTGAAAGAGCCACTTTCGACAGAAGTGACTTCAAAAGCTACTTGATAGTCAAGTGAGTCAAGGAAAAGGTTCAGCAGAGAGCTTGGGCCAGCACATCAAAGGTGGCTGAAGGACAACCGGGGAGGCGTGTCCCGGGCCTGGTCACCTGACAGGACGAGGTCGTCGTTGTAACTCATCTCAGTGGAGGGCAACAGGGCACAAGGACATCCGACTTGTTTGAAGAGAAAGGCACCCTGTTAGTCTTGGAAAATAATTGCACAAAGCCACCAAAGCACCACTTCCTCCCTCCTCCCTCCCACACGCCTCCCTGCCAAGGGAGACTCTGAGAACTTGAAAGTCCCTTCCTGTCCCCGGTCTGCCTGTGCCCCTTCAGTGAGCCACAGGGGCGGGTGACCAGAACGTGGACGCAGAGGGGCTGGAAGACCCCCGGCCCCTGCATTTGGCTGTGGCCTTGGCAATGCGCCCCTCCTCTGGGGCTTACTGTCCCAGGCTTGCTTTGGTGATTGTCCTAGAACCAAGAATCAAGGCCTGGCTCCTGAGCTAACTCCACCCCCTCCCACGGGAGCAGGGGAAGATGTTTCTGAGCCCCCGTCCCCTCTGTGCAGTTTGGTCTGCTTGCCACCTCTGGGAGCTGAGAGGGATGCAGTTTATTTCAAGCCACCACCCCACCCCGTGGTGAGCTGAGTTCTTGTCATTCTGGAAGCTCTTTCTACTCTGAGCCCCCTTGCATTCCATGCGCAGGCCTGAGGCCCAGAGACGTCAGGCGACTTGACCGGCCACACACAGCAGTTTGCCAGTGGGTTTCTGCAGCCCAGGCAGCGCATCTGCCTCCTTGTCCACTCTGGATGAGATCTCCAGTGACAGGAGACAATTGCACCCTTTTATATGCGTTTCCATGCAGGAGGGCAGACCCACCAGCCCACCATGCCACCAGACCACGGGCCCTCTGCTCCCGGGTTTAGAGGGAGTCCAAGTGCACCCTCCTTCCCCCGTCACGCTAACTGGGTGGCTGCGCTCCCCACTGTGGCTTAATGTGCTGTAGAGTCAGGTTGTGCGTGTCCCTCTTGCTGTGCGCCTGGGTTAACGCGTCAACGGAAGCGGTGATGAGGGTGAGAGCCCTGCACATAGCACCGAGTGCCACCAGGGCTATTCCAAGTGACCAGCACCCTTCACTCATTCAACCCTCCTGCTGGGGAGGTACTATCACCCTAATTTTCCCTGGGGACACTGAGGTACAGAGAGGCTGAGTAATTTGCTCAGGGACTTGAGGGAACGCAGCCGGGTTTCACAGCCTGTGAGTGGGCTGCAGGTGGCCCTTCACCCTGAGCAGAAAGGCCTGCCCCAGCTCAGTGGGCTGACCCGACCTCACTGCAATGTGCTGGCCATGGCCGCCCAGCTCTGGCCACAGTCCCGTCCCTCTGTGCAGTCTGCCTACTGACCACAGCCCCGACGGCCCCGAGTGGTCTGGCCTCACGGGACCTCGCCTTTCCTGTGTGGGGGACCTGCCTTCCCCAGCCGGCAGGCTCTTCAGCCCTGGCCCAGGAAGCTGAACTTCACATGCAGCCATCGAAGCTCTCCCCCAGGCCACGTCGGCCTTGCCGCCTCTCCGTGCTGAGCCTTCTAGGTGTGGGACCAAAGAGATGGAGAAGGAGGGACTCAGCCCACTCCAGCAAGTGCCCGGGAGGGAGGCAGGCCTCTTCAGGGAGGAAGCCTGGGGATGTCCCTGTCTCCCCCACTCTGTGAGCTGGCCTCAGACTAGCCACAGGCTGGTGCTTATCCAGTGGATGCTTCCTCCACCTTCCCAGGTCTGCTCATTCATTTATTTAATTAGTCTTTCGTTAAACTTTAATTGTGTGCCAACTGTGTTCGGCACTGAAAGTGCAGATACCAATCAGCTACACACCAGCCTCAGAGAAACCTCCTTCTAACAGTGAGAAGGAAACAGACAGAGACGCTCTCCTGCAACCAGGCCAGGACAACAGTGGAGACAAGGCAGGCTTCAAGAGAGCCAGGTCGGGGTGGGCGAGGAGTGGAGGAGGGTTGGGGAAGATCCCCCAGGAAGGGAAAGAGGGATGGAAATCACCCTGAGGAGGTCAGCCAGACAGCAGGGCCCCAGGAGAGCATGCCCGAAGGTCCCCCAGCCAGCAGCACTTTCCAGACAAAGTGGCCTCTGGTGCTGATTTCTGCCTCTGGGTTCTGAGTGGTGTCAGCCTGGGGGAGAGCTGAGACCCTGGAGTTGACCTCCTGCCTCCCCCCTTCCCTCTCTCCCCCCTGCCTCCTTCCCTCCCTCTCAGCAACTCCCAAGCAGGCTCTTGGGAGAAAACAGGGCTGCGTCTGTGTCTGCGCTGGCGCTCCCCACGCCCTGTTCCAGTGGCTGTGACGGGCTCCAAATGGCGCTCCCTGTAGAAGGATTCCTCTCTGGGTGGGCTTCAGTGATGGCTGCTTCTCTGAAAGGCCCCGTGTGCCTGTAGCCAAGCTTCAAGTGCAGTCCTGGGGACTTAAGATGCAAATGGTCTCCTGCGTGGGTTTGGGAAATCCGCTTTCTGAGATCTGACCCACCCACCTCCAATGTGGGGGCCACTACCGTGGCCTGCTGAACTGTCCACCCTCTACGTCCTGTGTGTTTACAAGTGGGCCGCTAGGACCTAGGGTGTGTCCCTTCAGAAGTTGGGGTTTTGGATGATGAGCTCACACAGAAGCACAGAGGCAAGCAGGAGCTGGACTTTCTAAATTGTAGGTTAGGAGGCTGAGTTTGGAGGAAGTGAAAAGCAGTCCCTTGGATAAGCTATGGCAGAGTGGCAGGATTAGAACTCAGCATCTGGCCCAGCGTTACAGCTAGCCTCCTTGCCATGGCATGAGGTTCAGTGGCCTCAGAGCAGTGACTACTAATTTAATATATCAAACGCTATGGTCATGAACATGACAAGCGTCAGGGGTGTCCTGGGACTTCACCAGGAGGTGTGCAGGGCCTCGGCCCAAAGGCATACAGACTGGGGGTGCCGAAGGCTGCTGTGTATCAGGGCACGCGTGCTGCCAACTGGCATTGCTGGTAGATAGAGAGGACGGGTAGCTACCAACCCGACGTGTTCCTCTCAAAGTAGTATTTGAATGAGGCCAAACAGCATGCTGAGAGGTGGGCGTAAAGGTGGTAGACAGTTCCCGACAAACAAACAGGAAATACTCTGGAAAGTAAATAACTTGATTATTTTTTATTTTTTGGAGCATAGCTCTTCATTTCTCTGCCTCTACTATAATTTTGAGAATCATTCTTGCAGTTTGTTTCTAAATGAAACGAGAGTTTGAGTTGTTTTTTCCTCTTTCTCACTCTCCCAGCCTGGGCAGTGTTGTTTGGAGCTGGGAGCGGCCACAAATACTCACACGCTTGGAACTTTTCTTTTGGAAAGCCACAGTGGCATTCAATCGTAGGGAATTCGGCGTCATGAACTCTTTTGCAGTTAGATTATGTGCAGGACGAGTGATGACTTCCAATTTATGCCTCTGATAGGAGTCGCCGAGTGCCCTGATTCTGAGTCCACCTGTGCTGTCTTCAGTGGCCTGGGCTGAACATGGACTTGTCCAACCATCGTGCAGTCTTGACGTCTCTGATGAGGGACTGGTGCAATCTGAGTGCCTGCCACCATCTTAAGGGAACATAAAAATTGGACTTGGTCTGCTGCCAGCTTCCTTCCTGTTCTGAAACACGCATGGAATGTCTGGGAGAACACTGAACGCATTCCCACGGTCCTGGATATTCCGAGGCACCTGATCCATCAGAACCTGACTCCGTGCTTACAACTGTCTTCACAGGGAGCCTGAGGAGCTCACCACAGCCACGAATGTGCTTTAATATGTCTTTGTATCGGAGGCATTATACGGAATTATGGCTCAACTTTTAAAAGCTCACACCACAAGATAACTCGGTTCATGTCTGAACGGAGATTGCAGATTTCCAAGCCTCCCCAGCGGCTGTATCTTCCAATTCTCTTCCAGAGACATTGTCTAGAGATATCTGGGGTTGGAGCCCGAAAGGAAAGAGGGGAACCAGAAGATGGGGAGCGAGGAAGGACAGACAGAGACAAGGCAGAGACACAGAGGAGAGTTTATTGGTCAGAGCTGAGACAAAGGCCATCTCTCCATAGACGGAGAGAGGCAAAACAGGCTTGGGGGTCAGGACTTTTATGGGGCAGGCTCAGGGATTAGAGCCGGAGGGTCCTGAGGCAGTG